ATAGTAGTACTCAGTAGTAGTACTAGTACTCGCAGCAGTGGTACTAATAGTAAGTAGTATTAGTAGTCATTGTCATCCTCATCACATCCACTATGGCATGTGGTGACCCCATCCGTGCTGTCAGTGATGAATTCTGTGATCGACAGGGTTTGCAGTGGCTCATTTTAGAAGATCACCACATCTTTTCTCGTAAGTGCCTGAGTAGGTTCCACGTGTAACCATTAGTAATCAAGTGTGCATTAATAACCATGCACACAACCGCAACTGCAATGGATTTGTGATTGGCAGGGTGGTGCTGATAGTTAAGTGCTTAGCAGCTAGCTGTTTGACAGCTCAGACCCACCCAGAGGGGCCCTGGAGACAGGTGTAGGCATCTGCTTCTGAGAGGGCACAACCTTGACAGGCCTAGGGAGATGTTGTACACTACACACACAGGCAGAGCAGCTGGTGGGTTTGAATGGCGTACATATGGGCTTGCAGCATAGCTTCTTAACCACTAGGTCACCAGAGTGCTAGAATGAGCTACCTATGTACTGAATGACTCAGGATGCATCAAAGGAGGATGGAAGGAGTACACAGAGCGTACCAAAAAGACCTAGCTGACACAGAATTTCATGAAGCAGCGTATGACCAAGAGGCAATGGTGATAAAGGAGGAAATTTAGACTGCTCTGAAGGAATTGGCAAAAAACAAGGCCCCAGGAATTGATAGAATACCTATTGACATATTTCAGCAAATAGATGCTGCCCTGGACAAGCTCACCAAGTTGTGTCAAGAAATCAAGAGGATAGCTACCTTGGCCAGCTGACTGGAAGACAGTAATATTTATTCATTATTCATTCCAAAAAAGGGTGATCTGACAGAACATGGTAATTACTGAACAATATCACTAACATCACCCCAAGCAAAATCTTGCTGAAGATTATCCAAAAACGACTGTGACAGTGCATCAACAGAGAACTACCCAAAGAAGAACAATCTGGGCTTAGAAGAGGCTGTGACACTAAGGATTCATCAGTGCCAGATGGATCTTGGCTGAAAGCAGAATGTACCAGAAGAATGTCTACCTTTGTTTCATTGACTGAGCAAAGGCATTTGACTGTGTGGATAACAACAAATTGCAGCTAACCTTGAGAAGAATGGGAATCCTGTAACATGTGAACATACAATGGACCACCAAGAGAACAAACAGATCGGTTCTGGAGAGGGTGGAAACAATTTGCTCTCTGAAGGCAAGGATTTTGAAGCTCCATCTCACATACTTTGGCCATGTTACCAGGAAGGACAAGTCCTTGGAGAAGGACATCATGCTTGGAGGAACAAAGCAGGAGAGGAAGACCCTGGATGAGATGGATTGACACAGTAACTAGGGTAATAAAGGCAAGTGTGTTAGAGACAGTAAGATTGGTCAGGATAGGGCAGGGTTCAGAGCTATTGTACACAAGGTTGCTGTAAGTCACAGGTGACTGGATGGCAAGTAATTACATATACATATACATATACATATACATATACATATAAAGTGTGTGTATGTGTGTATATATATGAGATCTGTATCTGTGAAGTAATACCTGTATGAAATTATACATATATGTGACTATATAAATGTGTGTGCATATATATATTGATATATATTATATATAAGCTTTTTAAAATTATTTTTCTTTTTTGTACGTGTACTGTCAACTCAGATCTGACTGGTACAGGAGGAGATTGCCCTTCCTTCTTAAGCAGAGCATCTGGTGGATTTGAACCTCTGGGATTGCAGTGCAGCTATAAGCTTTTTTATATATGCATATAATTATTTTCTTCTGGTAATGAAGTGAGAAGGATTCTGTGTAAGTTCACTTTTCATTCTGTTTTGCTTTTCTGTGGAAAAATAAATCTTTGTGTTCTTTTGTGCTTTGGGGATTGGAAAGGAGGAGAGAAGGGACACGGTCAGGAAGGAAGAAGAATGAAGGATAAAAAATGATAGAAAAAGTGAGAAGAAAATAAGAGGGAAGGAGCCAGGAGGAAAGGGCACCAGGAGGAACGAGACTGAATTCTGGCAGAAAAGAGGAAAGTACCTGGCTACGGATTCCTCAGACAGATGCCATCAGTGAGGGTGAACTCCAGGGATCTCTGCCTGCCCTGATATATGTTTCTGCTCCATATGCATATTTTATAATAAGTACGTGTGATTCTTGCCATGGAAAATACAGATGTAGAATTACTGCACTCAACTCCTTGGAATGAAGCAGTAATCTGAAATGTGTAGCCCTATTTTTAAACGATTCAAAATAACTCCATCTGAAAAAAGAAGAAAAACAGACATAACCAGAGAAATCCTAGGAGAGTATGGTGAAGTTGTTGATGCTGAGGATGGAGAAAGGAGAGTGAAGACCAGGTGAAGATCCGAGCCTCAGCTCCGGTCAGTCAGGTGGAAAACCCCAGATCCTGTCAGCCAGGTGGAGGCTCGAGCCCCAGCTCCTGTCAACCAGGTGGAAGCCCCAGATCCTGTCAGCCAGATGGAGGCTCGAGCCCCAGTTCCTGTCAACCAGGTGGAGACAGACCTGAGCCCCAGCTCCAGTCAGTCAGGTGGAGACAGACCTGAGCCCCAGCTCCAGTCAGTCAGGTGGAGACCTAACCCCAGCTCCGGTCAGCTCTGCAGTGTGAAGTCCTCAGCAACACTTCTGAGTCCAGCTCTTCTCCAGGTCTAACTCATCACTCCCCTCTCCAATCTGACGGCACAGAAGATGAAGGAGGCAGACAGACCAGAGGCCAGGGACCCCGTACCTCCGTCATTTCCACAATAATGGACACAGCAGTGTGCTCTGCGTCCAGAACAGCTTTGTTGCTACTGGCTGTCATCACGTAGGCCCCAGTTCACGGCAACCCCGTAAGCCATGGAACAAGACCCTGCTCGGTCCTGTACCATCCCTGCCTGAGTTTTGGAAGCAGATTGCCAGACCTTTCTTCTTAGTCTTAGTCTGGAAGCTGTATAAGCTTGTTTATTGTCAGAGCCGCACACAAGCCTCCCTGGAGATGGGTGGTAATTATGCATGAAGAGCACTTGACAGAATCAAACCGACCTCTCCTGCAGGGCAGGTGAGAATTTTACAGCTGCTAAAACCCTAACCCTAATATGAATGGAGAAGGCTCTTTGAAAAGATGCCCAGATGACCCCATAAGGAAACGTGTGCAGGGCAAAGCTTGAGAAGTGGATAGCCTCGCCGAATACGCCGACAGGCCTCCCTCGGCGGCCATCAGTCCCAGCCTCCTCTCTGCCTTCACCACCGAATCAATGGTGTCTTGTCAGTGGCCCTGCCCCAGCCCCAAGTGATGAACCAACTTCATTCGGCAAGTCTGCTGAGGGCTCTCAGAAGGGCCATTGTTCCCCCCACATTTGTCCAAAGCCTCCATTTAGGGACGACTGTGAGCATGGACGGAGACATTCATCACTGGGAACAGTTGCCAACAAACGAGAGACAGCTGTTGGGCTCGCCTGGCGTGTGGCCGGACGGGGCCTGGAGGGAGAATCATTTTCCAAATGGAATATCCTCCCTTTTCTTCCCAATTGTGAGACATGAGGAAAGGCCTCACCTGCCTCTTAGAAAACCAGAGTGGAGGACCATCACCTCCCTCATTGTGATTTATGACAAGCTCTCCTGCACACTGGGTAACCAACAACCTTCTTGCAGGCCATGCCAGTGTCAGAGAGACAGAGGCCCAGGCCAGGCCCTGACTCCCAGCCAGCCGTGCCCTGTGTGGCCAGGGACTGGGCCTTCCTTGTCTTGACCCACCACATGTCCTCAGCAATGCCTGCCGAGTCCCATACTCAGCAGTGTCTCCAAAACGCTCAACAGCTGTTCAGACATTTGCTATTAAATCCCATCCCAACTCACTGCAGCCTCCTCCCATGCATCCAGGACTGTGCTCCAAAGAGTTTACAATGGCTGGCTTTTGTTAAGTAGATTGCTAGGCTCTTCTTCCTAATTGCCTCAGGAAGGATTTGAACCACTAACCTTTCATTTACCAGTCAAGCACGCTAATCATCATACCATACAGAAACTCCAACTATAGACTTCCTCTATGACCCAGCAATGCCCAGCACTGAGTATGTGTCACCTGAAGACTTGAAAACAGGAACATAAAGAGATACTTGCATCAGTGCTCAATGTAGCATTCATCACAAGAGACAAAAGGTAAAACCTCCCCAAGCGTCCCTCAGCAGATGATGAAGATACAAAGAGTGGTACAGTGTACCACGTGACAGAGGATCATTTAGTCATACAGAGAAATGAAGTTCTGCCACCCAGATGTATGGACCTTGGAAACATGTTCAAAAGTGTCACTCAGACACCAAAGATAGATTCATGTATGATCCCATTCACATAAAATACCTACAATGAGCAAATGACTAGAAATCAAAGTTTATCAGTGGTTTCCAGAGGCAGGTGAGAGGGGGGAAGAGATACTGTCCAAATGGCAGTGAGTTTCTGTTAGCGATGATGAAAAAAAATTGTCAACAGAGTTAACTCCGGCTTATGGCAACAGAATCATACATATAAAAAAAATTGACAGAGATAGAAAATATTCTGTTATATAGATATGTTAACAACATTTTGAAAAAGGAACTAATGGCGTGGACACAATTGGCTCAAGGAGCACAGGGCACAGACATCCACGCGGGGACACACCAACAGGGTCCCACTAGGAACACAAGCAGCTGAGATCCAGCAAGTGAGGCCTGGAGAAAAGGGAAGGGTGACCAGGACGGGTGGGCGCTGGGGGCAGGATCCTTGCACTTGTCCAGAGGAAGAACACCAGGAAAAACCTGGGTGGACCCAGGGAGATGGAGCACCAAAGGCCCCCAGCACATGAGAACCCACTTTGGAAAAGTCAGTTGAAACAGGCCAGGGCCCTTCCTCAGAGATTCTCAAGGTGTCCAGGCCTCGGCTCTGGGCTTGCTGCTGTTAGGAGACATTGAGTCAGGTCACTTATGCCTGAGCTCGTCTCACATCCTTTGGGCATGCTGCCAGGAGAGGTCATTCCTAGGAGAGGAATATCATGCTTGGAAAAGTGGAGAAGCGGCGAAAGGGGAAGATCTTCGAGCAGGTGAGTTCACACAGTGACTGCACAGTGGGCTTCAGCGTGGCGGAGACGGTGAGGATGGCACAGGTAGGACAGTGTTTAGACTGGTTGTTCATAGGGTTGTTATGAGTCGTAGTTGACTCGACGGCACCTAACAACAATGATACACGATACAGCTCGTCACTCCCCAGCCTGCACCGTCCTCCTCCTCCTCACTGCTGTGGTGAGTCCACTGTTGCTGCCACCATCTCTTTGAGGGTCATCCTCTTTTACACTGACCCTCTACCCTACCAAGCATGATGTCTTTCTTCACAGACTAACCCTTCCTGATAACACGTCGAAGATGTGTGAAAGCTGTGAGCAGCATTGAGGAGATCCTCTTGTCCGTCCCAAAGGGATATACAAGACGACCAGACTGGAGCAGCCAGACTCAACACCTCACCAAAAAAAAAATCAGATTCAAACACGGCCTCAAGCCAGGTGTGAAGCCCGTCTGTGGATGGAGGTCACGTCTAGCTGGATCAAGCCTCCTCAGGCAGTAGCATGGACTGACTTCAGATCCCACAGGCCTGCCCACAGGCTTCTGCCTGAGCCCCCGCTGGTCTCAATTTCCTCCATCTGCACATTAAGGATACTAACACATCCCTGGGAGACCTGCCTCTCCAACCCCCACGGCCAGTCCCGATTCTTCAGGCCTGGATGAAGATGAAAGTGTCTGAGAGGAGAGCTTTGGGGAAACCTTTTATTAACATTCTCGGCTTAGCCTAGCTCTGAGAACAATTCCCTGCCTGCCTGAGGACTTCCCTCCAAGACGCAATGACAAAAATGCCAAGGAGAGTTCAGAGAATATTCTTCTTGTCTGCTCCCTCCCAAGGTTTCCCTGACCCCAAGGTGGCTACAAGTGTGTGGTGAAGGGGTGAGTAGGGTGGCTCAAGTTCTCACCAGCACCCCTCAGAATCTCTGGTGTTGAAACGAGAGGCTGGAAGTAACCTGCCCTGGAGAAGGATGGGGAGTCTGAAAATAGGGTCGCCTTTGGACACAGAACAATAAGGCTGGGGTTAGAGCAACTGACTGAAAACCTGGCTTTTGAGCATAAGTGTCGTCAATTAAACCAATAAATCCCACTGCTGTCCAGTCAATTCTGCCCGATTCATAGGCCCTGAGTAAACCTTTACGGAAACAGACTTCTTTCTCCCACACAATGGCTGGTGGGCTCCAATCAAACCGCAGGTTAAGACCTGCGTGCTTTAGTCATCTCATTAGTAAGTCCCTGCCCTAATCAGGAGCTGTGCGATCTTAAATTAAAATGTCTCAGCCTCAGTGACCCTGTCAAAAAAAGTGGCCATGATAAGACTCATAAGATATGTCTCATTCTATTTGTGTGTGGGTAAAATATAAAGAAATTTGAAATTGAAAGTATTGCTCAATACCATCAAGCCAGCTCAAAGCTCACCACTCAGAAGGTTTTCAGAGGCTGTAAACTGCATGAGAGGAGTCTGCCCTCCTTTCTCCCTTAGGAGAGCTGGTGGATTTGAAGCTGTAACCTTTGGGAGGTGTAACTCCTCACTCACTCACCAGGCCACCAGAGCTCCCTCATTCTTTATCTTCTTTTTTCCCACTTTCCAGGTCCCTCAGGTTAATCTTCTAAACTGACAAAACCCTGATGGGGAACCTCGACTGAGCCTCCTCCGCCCTCCAGATGCTGAGGGATGAGGCTGTTTCATCAGCCAACCTCAAACCCAGGCAGTCCATGAGAGGAGACCCCTTCCTCTTACCACTGCAGGCAACTTGTTTTTATTTAAATTTTCTTAACACTTTCCAAATATTTTTTTTGTTTGCTTGCTGACTTTATTTACCTTCTTGTTGTTGATGACTGTTGAGCATGACTCATAATGACCCTATGAACAAAAGGCCTGAAGACTTTCTATAACCATTGTCATTTACCAAAGTTCATAGAGTTTCTGGAGGCATGTGGTTTAGGAAGTGGATGCCACTCCTGCTTCCAACTATTTACCTTATGAATTAAAAAAGGAGTAAAAATATGGTGCATAAAGTAGTTTTAAAAATTACATAAAGAGTTTCATTCTTTAAGTAAAACGAATTTAATACATACGTATCTTTTTTATTCCATTGTCGCACATTTTCTTCCCCCTAGTTTCCAAACATTTCTATCGTTTCTCATTCATCTGCCCACCTTAAGTGTGACATCAGTAGAACAGTGGTTATTTGATTTGTGGGACATTTTACACTTTAACTGGTTAATTGGTTAATACAAATACAATGCATAGGCACTGAAAGTTTGCTATGCAGGAAAGGTCTCCTGTTAATAATCAGATTTTCCCCCTTCACACCCAGACTATCTGGCAGCACTACTCCAAGCAAAGGTTTTAGGTGACAGAAATGTACAAATGGGAAACATTCCCCAAAATCTTGTTTCATTGCTTCCCACCATTGCCACCAATTAGCACTGGAGAGCTCTGCCCATGTGCAGATCCAGATGCTAAAGATAAGATTCATGCAGTCTTATAAAAAGTCCAAAATAGAAACAGAGCTAAAAACTTTTCAGAAAGAGAGTCTTGGAAAGGGTTAAGTAATTCCCCAAAGTCACAGGCTCTGAATCAGCTGTGCATGAAACCAAAGCCTTCCACTTCCTGTCACACCTACATATGGTCCCTATAGTTAAATACAGGGAGCCCTGGTGGCCTGGTCCATAGAGAGTTGCAAGGCCAATCCAATGACCAGACCCCTCTGATGGTTCAAATCCACCAGAGGCTCTAAGAGAGAATGATGGGCAGCTGACTCTTGTGAGATTTATAACCTTGGAAACTCACTGGAGGGACAATGGTGAGTCAGTTCCAACTTAAAAAGCAATGAGTTATGAGTTGAATTGCAGCTAAACACAGTTCTTGGATGATCAGAGCAGTGGAGGGGGAAAGCGTTGACGTCTTTTCAAGGGAGAAGCAATACTGAGATGCTGCATGGCTCAGAGCTCAAACAGCTTCTTTCATTCTCTGGCTTGACCTGTTCTGGGCATCTCAGACCATTGTCCTACATGGGTCATCAATCAGAACTCCCTTCAGTAAAACATGGGAAACGGCAAGAGGGCTATCATACCTCAACCTCTTCAGAAACATCTGGGGGAGGACAATCTTGTAGGACAGCCCTGGATTCTCTTCCTGTGGAATAAGTGTTAGAAAAGGAGTCAAGGGCCAAAGAGAGAAAGAAAGAAACTGGTCCCAAGAAATGAACAAACAAGCCTTTTGAATGGTCTGAGAGGGACACCAAAGTGACCAGAAGCAGAGAAATTCAGAATAGTGTGCTCATAATTAGGGGTGGTCTCCTTTTATAGGGGTTTTTGGGGAGGGCTAGGGAAGATGGTACCTTTTGGAATTTGGGGCTGTTAATTAACTCAGGTTGGGGCTTCCTGGTCAGGCCCAGAGCTTTGTCATGAATTAATGTCTGGCCTGGTCTTTGTCCTGGCCACCCTTGAAACCATCATGTTTCTTGGGGAGTGACTAGGCATGGGGGCAACTGCTATACTTCTTCTCCAATAAAGACTATTTGCAATCTAAGATATCCAACCCGGTGGTGGTTTTTGAGAGGAAACCAGGATGCTTAATTTCACGTTTCACGAGTACTCACAGTAAGTTCTAAGCTGCCCAGCACAGCCCCATGTCTCTACAACTCTCTCTTCACCTTCCCTCGTGATAAGGAGGTTCTGCCTTCCTCTCCGTACACACAACATTCGAGCTCCTGATGGCCTCGGAACCTCTGCACACATGGACTGTTCCTTCTCCTTCTGGCTGGTTCAGTGTTTCCACTTAGGCCTTAACTTAAATGTCACTGCCTCAGAGAGACTCTCCCTGGTCATCCAGGCTACTGTCTTCCCTCCCTGGACCCAAAAGTCTCACAGCATTCTCTTTTCTCTCATATTACTTCTCACACTCTGAAGTTCTCTTTTTTGGGGGACTGTATTTGTGTATTTGTTCTCTGCAGTCCTCCACTAGGGAAAAAATACTCTGGGAAGATGGGGTCCTCATCACCTTTGTTCCAGAGTGATTTCAACATCTACACACAGTTGCTGGCACATATTAGAGCTCAGAAAACAACTGCTGTGTGGACACCTAAACATCCTCCCCTGCAAAGGGGCTATTTAAGGGTATCAGCAACTCAGATCATTACGGAATCACAAGTTCTTTGAGCTGGGATGAATCCCAAGGCTGGCTATTGAACTTGAAGACACAGAAATAAAGGTTTATGTTGGTACGTGAGGTACCAATAACATCAAATGGGCATAGGAATTGGGATGGTATCCAGAGGGTTAGGCAAGAAAGTCAGCTTTTTCAGTATAAGGTTGGGCTGGATGAAGAACGGAAAGAAGAAACATTCGGTCTTAAAATATTATTTCAAGAAATAATATTCAAACCATGGAAAAAGAGCCAGGTAACGATGAGGTGATCAACCCTGGTTACCCCTTCCACATCTTCCTCCCACAGCACTCTGACCCAGCTTCTGGTCCTGTCCTCACTACACTAAATTCTGCTCCAAGTCAGAATTCTTCATACTGTTCCGGTGTCAACAACGGATTCCCTCTGTGGTGTAAACGGTTAACACACTTGGCTGCTAACTGAAAGTTGGGAGGTTTGAGTCCACAATGAAGAAACTTAGAATTAAAGGTTGGTAATCAACTTGCACAAAATCAGCCACTGAAACCACAGTCCTACTCCAACACTGCTGGGGTCACCACGGGTTGAAGTTGACTTCCTGGCACCTGGCTTGGCTTGGTTCTGCCCAGACCCATTGCCCATTCTGCAAGCCAACTTTTCTCAATTCCGTTTGATTCCTCTACACTACACTTCTTCTCCAACAGAAAGGGGTGTGTGTGTGTGTGTGTGTGTGTGTGTGTTCCTGCTGGATGTGTATTGCTTTATGAATTTTAG